GCCTTTAACGAGTTAGATGGTGAAATTATTCGTAAAGCAACAACTAATCATGTTGAAAAAAGATTGTTAAAATGTTTAGAAGCTAACGAGGGGCATTTTGAACATTTGATAAAATGATTTTTTTAAACCATGTGCTTTTTTGTACAACCTGCCCATAATGTATTTTGTGACAACTTTAAATCATAATATTCTTGTAGGAAAGTTGGAAAGCTTAGGGTTTGATCAGTCGCTGTTAAGATTATTTTCATTTTACCCAAATCATCGTTTTAATTATGTCTTTTACAACGGATTTTAATCTTTACCCCTCACAGCAACATCTGGAGTTCCACAGAGCTCCAATCTGGGGCCACTATTATTTAGTATATTTATAAATGACTTGGCAATAAACTTAACATGTAATCACCTGCTGTTCGCTGCTGACTTAAAAATATTTACCTCAATCTCATCAATTCAAGACTGTCACTTTTTACAGACCCAACTGGGCATCGTTCAAAATTGGTGTAATGAAAACAAGCTGTTTATGAATGTGTCCAAATGTAAAGTATGTTCCTATACTAGAAGTATTAACAAGGTGGAGTTTGATTATTTATTTAACGGCCTACCTTTATCGACTTGTGCACAAATTGAAGATTTAGGTATATTATTCAACCAAAAAATTACTTTTTCGGATAATATTGAAAATACCGTTGCTTCTACGTTAAAAAGCTTAGAATTCTTAATTCGTAATACTCGTTCTTTTACAAACTCTTAAAGCTTGGAGATCCTTTACTTTTCTTTAGTTTGTTCCAAGCTAGAATATGCATCTCTTATCTGGAACCTTATTTGTTTATAAAAGATCATTACAAAATGTTTAGCGGCGATTTCTCAAGTACCTTTCTTTTAAAATAGATTAGCTGTATCACATTCGAGGTATTGAAGGTATATTAAAAATAATACATTCATAAATTTACTATATAACATTCATCGATTCTCTCCTGGCTGAAATATTACTTATCTATCTATTCAGCTGTTCCGTCTATGTTTTGCCTTTAGCCTCCTTCTGACACTTCCATTCATTCTTATTTAGTGTTCAGAATATCAAGTGTTATACCTATCTGATGCTGGGTCCTGCAAAGTTCATCTTCAGTACACCTGCTTATGTTACATCTATCTCGATGTCAAGTTTGATTGAACAACCGTTTCTTGCATATTACTCTTATATCTACTTAACCAGAACTCGCTTAGACTCGGAAGCAAATGTCTAATTCAGCCAAAACACAGCCTTGGTACACAAATATCTATTTTACCGCTGGTTTCATTACAAAAAACTGGAGTAAAGTGTAAAATTATCTCTTGTCCAGTACACTCGTATATACTTGAGTATTAGCCTATATTATTTTTGATTGAAGATGTATACATTGAAAAATGTCTACTTAAAAATAAACATTTAATTTTGATATTTTATTTAACTCAAAACATTAAATTATTATTTTCCATTTATATATGGCTTATACCGGACCTGTAGTAGCTGACAGTGTTGCCGTCAATTGCCGCCACATATTCATTAGTGACATACATTTTATAAATGCATCGTGTTACATATTTGTTGACATAAAGAGATAGAAATTTAAAGTGACGTCTTGTATTACTTCGAATGAAAAAATCGATAATGCAATTTTCTAACCTAAAATCGTGAATATATGTCAAACAAGATTGAGTTGGACCTTAATATTTTCCGCCGAAGCACTGGCAATCAGTAAAGTAGTTGGGTATATAGAAGAGCAAGCGATAAAAAAAGTCGTCATAGATTCGCTTTCCGTACTTCAAATTTTATCTCGTCCTATAGACATAGTTTCACCATACTTAAATCCAGTTATCAAAGAATTAAAATTAAATACCTCTAGACTAAATAAAACAAAATTTAATATTCACTTTATTTGGATCAAGGCACGTATAGGAGTTCAAGCCAACGGAAAAGTTGACAAATTAGCAAAAGAAAGCATTTCCATAGGCCAACCAATGGAAAACGAAATTGCTATCAATGAATGTATAAATCAGTCCAAAAATAAAATAAATAAAAAATGTAACGAAACATGGACACAATATTGTAAAAGCCATACAACCCGCTACACTCTATTACACCCTACACTTTCTAATGAAATATGGCACAAAAATAGCAACCTAAATCGTAGAGGCACAGTAACTATTGCTCGATTAAAGTTTGATCACGCTTGCTACCTCCAACATCTGCACAAAATAGGAATTGTGGATTCTAATTTTTGCGACACTTGCAATGAGATATGTGATCTGTATCATATTTTTTTCAACTGTGAAAAATATCAAACACAACGTCACTTACTGAATGAAAAAATTATTAGTCATAAAATAGCTTTACCCTATAATTTGATGCACTTGCTGTCTCTAAATAATCTCTCAGTTTTTAAGGCCCTTCTGGATTTCGTCAATTATTGTAACTTAAATTTATAAATCTAGGTTCCTGTATTATCTATCCTGGATATATATACCCGTATTCCTTTCTACTCCGAGGTCTACCTCATCTTGTGTAATAAAGTCATCCTGACTGACCCCTGGGTGTGAAGTTTGTTACCCTTATCCCATCCTGATAATAATGTAAGATATTAGTCGTGTATCTGGCTTTGTGAGTACATACTCGAAGGCCATTAAAAAAAAATCAAAATACATAAAGACTTTTAACTTTCTACTATGTAGATCCAGAGCCTCCGATCAGAGTTTCAATAATCTGGTGCCGCCCCTATTAAGATGATCCGGCGTCCCCTCGAGTTACCTTTGTAACTTTTCCATCCCAGCAAACATTTTGGTGTAATTTGACGTCGATACTACCTAAATTATATATAATAAATTTGGTCGCAAAATTAGATTTAACCATAATTAAGTAAAATTTACGTTGGCTCGACGTGGATTCGACATAAGTGGAGAATAAGACGACGTCGAAATTTGGTTTTATTTACCAAAATAGGTAGAATTACATCTAAATCCACATTTTAGTAGCCCAGTACGTTTGGTTAGTAATACCTCTCTAGGGAAATTTGACGTCAGTATAACGTTAATTCGACGTTGATTTAACTAAGTTTAGGTAGATACCACCAAAATATTTGCAGATGACGTATGCCACCAAGTGTACGAAAATAAATTTTATACTTATTTGGTATTTTTATCTTTATATAAGTAGAAATATTGTAAGAAGTCACCAACACAACTAAAACATATACCTATTTCACATGGAAGATTGAAAATAAATAAATGTCGGTGACAAAAATATATGTAATGTAATTGCGGTGAATATACAGTTCACGCTTGTTGAAATTAATGCGAAGAAAATTTTGTCGTGCATGTTAACAGTTCTACTTAGAAAAATAACAATGCCCTTCCAAAATATTCTCTAATTTAAAAAATATAAGAAAAAAATATGATCGTGTAAAAAAATAATAATAATATTATGAGCTAAAACTATGTTACGTTTGTTGTGTATCACTTTAGAAAATCAATAATGTTTCGTTTTTCGGTATTTTCATTCGTATGTTCTAGTTATGGTCATTTTAAAAATTTAAAATTTGGAATCGTACTTCAATTACGTTAAGAAAATATGGCGTATTGTGCGAATTCGACCTAAAAGTTATTATGACTAAAGAAATCTACGTATTTTACAAATACCTTTTTATTAAGTTGAATTAACTTCAATTTCACGACATATTAGTTAACTTTACCTATTTAAAGAAATAATAACTTATAGGTTTTATAAAAAAATTACCTATAGGTAAATATATTTAGGTCACGTTGTTCTGCACTTGAGATTTTAGACGTTTCACTTTACGATAAAAATCGGAAGTATAACGATATGATTTATTATTTTTCGAACTCATTTTATTAATTATTTTTCGCACTCATTTAAAGCTCTATTTACACCACACGTAAATTAAGATTACGACTGTAATGTTTTTTTTAAAATGGCCGAAATTCTTAAGAATAATGACGAAGACAGTAACTGAACAACCTAATTGTTAAAATAACCTAAATAATATAAATTTTATAAATAGGTCATGTATGACTCTTTTTAAATTGGTGGTTTTTAGTCGAATTTACTTTGTGGTAGATTTTTCAGGTAATTGCTACAACAAAGTTAATAAATATTTCTTCAAGATGACTTATAGGTCAACTAAATGAGTATTCGACTATTTGGTTGAAATTAGGTAGATAAACAGGTAGAATTTTTCTACGATCTCGACCTAATATTACTTTAAAGGAGAGTAAATAAAAGCGGCCAAATAGGTTACTATGGAGGCCTAAAATTACGTAGAATTTTTAACCAAATCTACCTAGTTAAATATTCTACTATAAAGACGATTTTTAGTTGCCAAACAGGTAGATATTACCTAAATATGGCACCTAATTTTACTACAAAGGAAATTTAACTTTGAAGTAATTGTTGGTTATTTTTTTAAGTAGTTTTTCCCTTGCTGATATGGTTAAAGTTACTTTTAAGCAGATTTGTGTAAAAGGTAGATTTCTTGGTATAATTTACGTAAATTTAAATATAAATTAAAACCGTTTGGTAAATTTACATTAGAGGTATATTTTTCTAGTCAATTTTACGTAATAATTACCTCAATAAGTAAATTCGTCTTTAACAAAGTCGAGTTATAGCTAATGTTATAGAAAATGTTTGCTGGGATAGTTTATTGATATTTAATAATCAACCTTGTACGTCATTGCAACTTAAAATAAATTTACGACCAAAATGACATAAACTTATATGCACAGGGTGTTTTTTTAATTATAAATTCAAATTTGGAAAATGTGAATTTATACGAAGCGTAACAATATAAATTCTCCAAAACTTTTGACCAAATATGTCAAAAGAGAACAATCTCTAAAAAGTTAAAAGGTTTCCCATGTTGTTTTATTTACTAAATTCCTTTATTTCCAGATAAAAGAATATTCTTCGATGTCCGTTTGCTAATGTCCACGAGCGATATTGTGTTTTAATACGGCACTGCATCGGAATTTTCGTGTGAAGCAACGATCGGGGCCATAGAGAAGACGAATTCGGGCGTTAAGGATTCAGGAATGTGAGGACATTCCTGAATGTGGATTATATGTCGCTTTATATTCTAAAATGTTAAAAGAACTTTTCAATATGAAACAGAGTCTAAGAACTTGCTGAACTTTGAATAATTGAAACGATAGTATGTCAGAAGTACAGAGAAAAAGATTATTCAAAGTGATAAATTATTATTTAACAGATAATTAAAAAAAAGAAAATTTGCTAAGAATAATATTAAATACAATCTATTACATTTTTAATTTCTTTCAATTGGTTCGATTAACAGAAGACGGCATTGAGGTGGTGTTCTTATACACCCCTTCACACATTGGAATCCAAGATAATAAAGAAGCTGACAGATGTACCAAAGAAGCAATAAGTAGTAAAAGTGTGGAAATAGTGAGTGACACTTTACATGAGGATGTGAAAATGTGGGTAAAAACCAATGTTCTTAAGTGCATGGCAAAATAAATGGCAAACTTCATCATCTAAGTTACGGAAAGTTAAAAAAATAGTGAAACCTTGGCCTATCAAAATATACCCGCGAATAACATGTTCTAATAAAGAGAAAAAGCACTTACAAATTTCACCTCAGAGAATACAAAATATTTGTTATACAAAAACAGAGTTACTGAAGAGCAATGCAAAGTAATCTATAATCTTTAGTCAGCAGCGAAGCTTCAATGAGCTTCCTCAAGAGATGAATACCCCAGTATTGATACGCTAATCAAAGAGGATGGAATGACAACTTCTGCTGTTGCTATACTTTGCTTACTTGATCCATATAGAAGTAGTCGACTAGACAGAGGAAGAACACAAGCATCTGTCTACGATTGGCAAACTGCCAAACATATTGTAGTCGAAGACAAAATTATATAGGTAATATCTAGATGTTCCACATTTAAATCACCGGTATTTATCCAGTCCTACTTTAGTGCAGCACAAAAGAATTCACACCGCACGTGGTAGGAATATTCAGATCCTTGTTGGCTGTGAGGTATATCCCAAAAGAATGGAAAGTGGTAAAAGTATACCCAAATCTAAAAGGATGGATTTCACTGTCCCAAAAAATTACCGACCAATTAGACTTATATCGTTTTTCATATACAAAAGGTATACAAGGGATGTGGTGATTACAACAACACCACTACACTCAAATAAACATGCATATGCCCCAGGCAAATCTGCTGACTCATCCCTTCACCTAGTTACTGGTCAGATAGAGAGATCTTTGGACAATAGAAAGTCTGCCTTGAGTGTGGTCATAGACATAAAACAATATCAAAATCCCCAAGATAAAACATTCACCAACCAACAAGATGCTCGTTACTTTATTTAAATTATTCGGTACTGACTACAGGCCACCGTCTTAGTACTAGAACCATGGGCGTGTGCCACTTGAGTTTTTTAAATAATAATTTTTCTGGAAATTAGTTATTTAAACTAAGTTAAGCTGAATGTTCCAAATTCTAGCCATTTTAGGTACATATTTATAAATAAGAAGTATGACTGTTAGTGGTGTACACACTACTCTCGAGTTGCAAGTGAAATGAATAAGTCAGTGTGTAAAAATAATTTTTTTTAATAAATATTTGGCTCTTTCACGTCGAGTAGCAAAATTGTACACTGTGTTCCAGTCAACAAGTTTAAGAAATGGACATACTGGAGGATCTGGAAATCATTCGTGAGATGAACATGAATTCTGGTAACTGCCTTGTAGTAACTCAGATGCACTACATACCTTCCTTATTAACTTACCGCGACACATGCGTCATATACACTATCATCATCTTTAGATATCCTTGCTTTCCGTAGCAGCCTTACTGAAGGATTAAACTCGCCTCGTTAGCAACCTCGGTTACCCGTCTATATTTTTATTATTTAGATCGACATTGTCATTATATTTTATTTTCTATAATTTGTCATGCCCCTATAATAAATTTATTACATTTACATCATTTATTTATAATCGGGATTAATAATTTGAGACCCCAAATGCCTCAATACCCAAAGTTATGGGATCTCTGTATGGTTTATGTCCTTAGAAATCAGTATATCCACCCTCCTCTTCTTTCATTATTTATATATTTTTGTTTCTTGATGATTAGTATATTCTAACCCGGTTGATCCCAGAACTACTCTCGAGCGCTCCAATCTACTTGTCATTGGGTGCGTTCACCAGACGGCAACAGTTGAGGAGTTGAGTAAGCTATCGCGTTCGACAGACACGATGACTTTCCGCTGAATGTCATCTGCTGCAAATTTCACCCAGCGTATGGAGGGTAGAGGAAAGGAGAACAATCTCTGTATACAAAAAGTGTCCCTCAAAATGTATACAATTAAGATGGCGCTTCTGTGCCCAGGGGACGTCGACAGTCGATAATTCAGATCACACAATGACACCAATGATGTATATAGTAATAAATATTGCTCAACCATAAAAAACTAAAAACTACACCGTGAAAAGTGACTGATCGTAGAAGAGTAAGTGTTCTGTGATCGTACATAAATTTTGACAATACACGACAATAGTCAAATTTTATTGAAAAATAATAAATAATTCTTATGAATGAGCAATCTATATGACTATATAGCATTGGATTTTGTCCCCTGGCTACACGAGCGCCATCTTAATTGTATACATTTTGGTGGCCACTTTTTAATATAAAGATCCATATAAGATTGTCCTCCTTTTTTCTACCCTCCATAACCCAGCGCGATGAATTTGCACTGAGCCGACTCAACATATGCTTAGACATGCGCAGTAAGATGACAGTTTATTGTTGCGCGTGCTTTCTTGATTTTTAAAACGTACATATTATGGAAACTATTACAGAAAATTTGTCAACCTACAGTTTGGTGTTTTCTGACGAGGATCAGCATCAGCCAATAATTGCAAACAATATAAGGTTATGTTCAACAGTATAATCTGACAGTTCTGTGACAGACAGAGACTCAACGGTCAACGGAGCGTTCAGCCAATTTCCATCTGCTGTCGGATGTTAATTCCCAGCCGTTTAGCGCTTAAAGTTAACTACTGACGTCTGGTGAACGTACCCATTGTTCTGGGTCAGTTTGTTTATGTCGTATATATACTGTCAAATGTCAAAAATGTCATCTGTTGCTTCGCTAAACACGAGGGTTTAAATAATTAATAATATGTAGAATTATTAATATTTTACCTTATAAACGGTTTTACGTGAGTTTGGTACCTTTACCAACCCCAAATATTATTATTATTGTAATTGTTGTTGTAATTCATAACTTAATGTCATTGTTTCCATGTGGTGGGTAAGTTTTAACATCAATTAATATTTCTGTCTGAGTTTTTCCACCACTCCTGAGATTTTTTAAACATCGACTGCTTTGTGCATGTTCTGATAGTTGTTTTTGTTACACTGCAGAAGGGTTCTGGGCCAATAAGAGCATTTGCGGCTTCTTATCGGGCTAGTAAATCAGCCTCTTCATTGCCCTTATGTCCCCTGTGGCCTGGTACCCAGGCTAAGGTTAGTCTGTTTTGACTACCCAGCTCTGTTAGGGTTTCCAAACAGTCCCACACAAGCTTTGAGTGTACTTGCATGGAACTGAGTGCTTTTAACATCGCTTGACTGTCTGAGTATATGACAGTGGTTTTTCCATTAACCTTCTGTCTTAATACTTCTTTTGCGCAGTGATGTATTGCTGCTATTTTTGCCTGGAATACTGTCGCATGTTTACCTAAGCTCAGTGAGATTCTTGTCTTTGGCTTGGTACTATATATACCTACCTACTCCTGAACCTTTATGGGTTTTGCATGAAAAGGAGGTCCTTCCGTCCACGCTTCCCCGTCTGGTATACTTACTTTATATTGCTTTTGAAAGGTATACTTTGGGAGCATTTCATCTGAAGGCATTTCCATTATTTGGTCGTTCTCCAACTCTTCATATAGCTCGCTATAGTCACGTCTCTGCAAACTGCTTATGAGTGATGAACCTTTGTGCAGTCTATATGTGACAGACCTGGCTTCGCCTCGAATGAATATATGTAGTGGTGTTAGGTTTAGCATGACTTCTATAGCTGCTGTTGGAGTCGTTCTCATAGCTCCCGTGGTACTCAGGCATGCTTGCCTTTAAATACCATTAAGCTGTCGAATGGCTCCAGCTTCCCGAGTCTTTGGCCACCATACCACCAATCCGTAAGTTATCATCGGCCTTAGGACTCTGGTATATAACCATAGGGACATTTTTGGTTGTAGTCCCCAATTTTTTCCACACAACCTTCGACATAGGTTGAAGAATGTTGTGCTCTTTTGGGTGACTTTTTGCAAGTGTTGATTCCATGTTAACCTGTGGTTAAAGATGACCTCTTGAGCAAATGGAATCTTCACTCTTTTCAGTACTGGTGACTTTAGTCCTGTTGGTACTTTTCGATTTGTAAAGTTGACTATTGAGGTTTTGTGAGGGTTTACTGTTACTCGTCAACAATATTTAGAGCGGTTTGTGTGCGCTCCGATATTGTACCTGCAAACTTGCCTCTTACGACGATCGCCAGGTCATCGGCATACCCTAGGCAATAAAAATCTGCAGATATTAGCCTCTTTATAAGTTCGTCCGCTAGGACTAACCAGAGGAGGGGTGATAGTACTCCTCCCTGGGGGCAGCCCAGCCCCTATCTGCTTCAACTGGCAGTGTAGCTTTGCCTAGAGATGATGTTATTACCCTTTCTGCTAGGCTGGCTTTTATTCACTGACATAGGACTACTGGTACCTCTTTTATTGCTAATGCGTTAACTATAGATCTTGTTTGAGCATTGCTAAAAGCTCCCTCAATATCTAAGAAAGTTACTACTCCTATTTCTTTATTAGCCCAATCGGATTAGTATTTTAGATTCTGAAAAATTCGAAGCAGCAATTTTCCTTTGGAATTCGTTGGAGGGGGTCTCTGGTAGTCTAAATTCAAAAAGTTGGGATTCCAAAGTTGTCGTTACCTCCGCCATCTTGATTTAAAGGGTTATTTTTTGTATCTTGAATAACTCATATATTTTCAATTTTACACGGAAAATAGTTTTTACAAAAGTTATTTAAAATTAAATTTCCTACAATTCTGCTTTTTTTTTGTACGATCGATTTTTTTCGATTTATACCCGAAAAGAGGGGGTGAATTTTTGGTTATAGAATAACTCGTTTATTTTCAATTTTACGAGAAAAATTGTTATAAACAAAGTTGTTTAAAATTAAATTTCCTACAATTTTGCTTTTTTTTTTGTACGATCGATTTTTTTCGATTTATACCCGAAAAGAGGGGGTGAATTTTTGGTTATAGAATAACTCGTTTATTTTCAATTTTACGAAAAACATTGTTATAAACAAAGTTGTTTAAAATTAAATTTCCTACAATTCTGTTTTTTTTTGTACGATCAATTTTTTTGTATTTATCCCTGAGAAGAGTGGGGGTGAACCTAAGTATTGTATTGTCACGTTTATTATTGATGTTGTACCATTATTTTTTCTGTTTGTTTTTTTTGTGCTGATACCTGGAATTAAAAAGAAACGTGATAATACAATGATAAGAGTTTACCCCCACTCTTCTCAGGGATAAATACAAAAAAATCGAGCGTACAAAAAAAAACAGAATTGTAGGAAATTTAATTTTAAACAACTTTGTTTATAACAATTTTTCTCGTAAAATTGAAAATAAACGAGTTATTCTATAACCAAAAATTCACCCCCTCTTTTCGGGTATAAATCGAAAAAAATCGATCGTACAAAAAAAAAGCAGAATTGTAGGAAATTTAATTTTAAATAACTTTTGTAAAAACTATTTTCCGTGTAAAATTGAAAATAAATGAGTTATTCAAGATACAAAAAATAACCCTTTAAATCAAGCTGGCGGAGGTAACGACAACTTTGAAATCCCAACTTTTTGAATTTAGACTACCATAGACCCCCTCCAACGAATTCCGAAGGAAAATTGCTGCTTCGAATTTTTCAGAATCTCAAGCCTGTTCTTCACCTAATCCGATTGGGCTATATCCTCAGGGATTTTGACAGTAGTAGTGTAGCAAGACCGTTTCTAATTCAAAATGTGTGTAGGATAGTGTACTGATGTGAATAAGTGAGCTCGATGGCGCTTGGTTGATGGTAGATGTGTGTAGTTGGGGTGTGAATATGAAGAAGTGTTGTGTGGGGTGTGTGAGGAGATGGGGTTGTGTTGTGTGACGTCAGTGGGGTTGATTTTTGTTGTATTGCGTGTGTGTGTGTATAATGGTACATTTTGCGTGGGTGTTAAAAATGTGTATAGAATATTTGGTGTTGGTTTGTGCGAGATTAAGTGAGATTGCAAATAATATTAATTAGGTTGCAGATTGTGTTAATCGACTTCCTTGGTCAAATTGATTTTGGGAATTTGGGGTTTTATCGCTAGAATGTAAATAATGGTATGTTTGCGTGGGTATTTTGGGTGTTAAATGATTGAATATTTTCTTTAGTTTGTGTGGTTATCGCGTAAATTAGAAATAAAAAATTATGTTGTGTAGATTGTTAATCAAATTCCTTTGCAAAAACTGATTTTGATATTTTTTTGTAATTAAGACTGATATAAGATGTGATTGTTTAATTTGATATGATTAAATGTTTGTTACTTTTTGCTTGTGATTACTCCCACATGCGAATTTACTGTGAATGATGATTTTGTTTTTTAATTAATAATTTATTTTCTTGGGTACAGCTATATTTTGATATAAACGTAAAGAAGTAAAACTCAATTTATTTTAAATTTAATTTATTAATATAATATACAATATATTACAATAAAATATAACAAATGTAGCAATATAACAATAAAACAATGTAACTTTACCTAAAAATTAGATTTTTTTGGTGTTATTTTGGTAGGATCGTATTCAGGAACCAACACCGTAAAATTCCTACATTCTCCTGCGTGCAATTGAATCGCCCATTGTCGTGGTTGGCACAATGATCCTGGGTCCTTTCCAATTTGGGTGTCGCTTGGTTGGTATCATCATATTGAGCCACATCAATGATGACTGGATAGTGCCCTAGTTCATGGCACTTTCGTTGCAAAAATTCCGCCTTCTGGTTACCACGGACGTAAACATAGTTTGCAGAATATAGCAAGTTTGATTCCAATATCTTGTTTACCTGTCCGTGGTCGACAAACCCTGACGTATACTGGATGCCATGGACATTTCTTTCCAGGTATCTCACCGTCTTCCGGTCCATTTCATCCAGGTTGTTATACGGAATTGCCGACGTAAATAGAAAATGGTACTGTTTAAACCCAATTTCTATCGACAACTCCTTAGGGTGGAAAATACCTTCAACGGTAAATCCTTGTATATCGACGAACGCAATCTTCATGGTTGATAGTGTATAGTGTAGAGTAACAAACAATAAAGCTTTTGAAGAATTATAAATAATGATATATTTGCATGGGTATTTATACGCAAAATTATCAAATTTGCGCACGTTTTAAGATTGGCGGTTATAAGAGATTAGAAATAAAAATTAGCTTGCAGATTGTTAATCAATTTCGGAATTATTTTTTAATATTTTTAATTTATCAAAACGGATATAAAATGTGATTGTAAAAATTTGGGTAATTGTGAGTGACATTTGCAACACCTAATTTAGATATTTTGTTAATAACATGGTAGGAAATTGTGATATGATTAGTCGCCAACTTCCTTTGCAAAAAATTATTTTGGATATTTTAGCATTATCAGAAACATGTTAAAATATGATTGTAAAGTTTTGCTGATTATTGATTTCCTTTTGCAACACTTAATTAGACTTTTTACTATCACGCATTGATATGATGTTATTTTAATTAAATAACTTTGGTTTCCATAATTTTGAATATTTTTCCAATTTTTTTTTTTATTGTCACGTGATATTGTTTTATTTAATAGGTATTTGTCTATTAAAATCATTATTAGTGTAATGTCTTCGGAAGACTATAGACGTAAACTTGAGGAATTTGGTGAAAAAGTCCGTAATATTAGTAAGGACATAAAGTTTTATGAGGATAAAAGTAAAACTATAGAAGAATTGACAAATTTGAAATTGTGGGATAAAGTATTTGATAAATATCGAACCCCTGCTCCTCAGTCAATTTACCCTTTAAGACGAATTGAGCCGAAACCATGTTAAATATAAATTTAATAATACTCACAACAATTTTAAACGGTATACTATATACCAATGTACCGGATGGGGTTGATCATATGTCCGTTTGTTTTGATTTGGAGAACCTAAGACAAGATTGTACGCTTTCAGAATGGAAATTAATGAATTTGTCAATGGTGAATGATGATAATTTGAAAACATTTTCGATAGAAATACCTATGGCTGCAAAAGAGACGCTCAATTACAAATTGAAACCTATATTTGCAGACACGAGTGTCGGAGATATTCAGGCGTGGAAAACTGTTATATTAGATCAACCTTTACTGGAAATTGATTTAAGACATGTTGGAGAAGAAATACTAAGAAACGATACTACGCAAAATGAATTTTATAAATTATTTGTTCTTACATCTTTTACTTTATCATCAATACTTATTATATTATTAAAAATGTTAATAAAATATATAAAAAGAAAATTAAATAGTAATAAATGATTGAAAATATGTATTTGTGTTTTAATAAAACATCATCTATTTTAAATTTCATTTATTAAATAAAAACATAACGTAAATACATTGCATTTTTTAGGTAAAATATTTATAAAACAGTAGCGTAGATGTTCAACATTTTCTTGGGTACAGTGATTTAGATTAAATTATAATTTTTACAACTTCTGTCAACGGGAAGTATTCAACCATAGAATCATGCACTATGATGCAGTAAACCTTAGTATTTGCGGGGAATCCAGTATCACTTTCAATTTCTAGTCTTACATCAACTGTGGATGATTTCATTTTTTCTTCTTGTTTCGAACAATCGATTACAAAGAGAGCATGCTTTTTAAATTCTGTATAATCTAAAAGAGGATGTTTTATTTTTGAATTTGAATAGCTTGCATAGAATTCCGTGTAATCGTGGAATGCCATCATATAATCATCGTTTTTGAAGTCATGCTGTATTCTTTCGTTGGGCCAGTATTCTCCATTTAACGATAACCTTATACTTGAAACATTAGCATCATCAAAGCATATAGCATTAGCCTTTACGTTACTTCGCTTATCCGTTTGAAAACATACAATTACAAAACGGGGTCGTTCTACAGATGCACTAGTCTTGACAGACCAAATTTCTCTTTTAGCACCAGCAGTAATCGCTGGTAGTTCATTTAACTCCCACTTCCGAAATGGTATTAATATAGATCGATCCTTTTTTATAGACTCCATTAATTCTATTTTAATTTCATCGTTTGGAAATATATGTTTTACACGTAATTCTAAACTCTCAATTATTATTTTTGCCGTAGTATCTGTTATACCCCCACCGGCTATAGGCTTTTCTGTTATGATTATAGAATCATTATCGTTACGGGCACGAATTAGTCGAAATGTTTGATTTCCACATGTGACTAAAGTATAATCGTTTAAAACATTAAATAGATGATCCATACGCATCACCAAACTAAATTTATTTTGTTTATTCAGATGTGGATTATTCGGATAATTCCATCCTCCGATGCTCATATGTTTTGAATCCTCAGGTTTATAGCACAACAAGGACCGTATAGTACTTACTATACCGGTATCACGAACTACTTCTATTTCTTTAGAACTTTCACTGTATGAGCAAGAATCAAAGAGAAATGCTCCAAAATTGGGTGCTAGGGAAACATCTCCCCCACCATTAACATCTAATTTTCCTTTAATGCATAATAATGCGTCACTCATAAGGAAAAATGAATCAACTTGTTTTATAATAATTTCCACAGCATCATTGTTATTGAATGATTTGATAAATGGCGTATAAATTCGAGACTCTACTTTTCTAAAAGATTCATCAAATTGTGGTTTAGTGTCAAACATTTGAAACATAGGATCGATCCTTGATTTTTTATGCACGCGCTCATCTATGTCGTCCAAGGAGCGAATATATTTGCGTTTTGTCATTTTTCAATTTGAATCCTAGAGATTTAAGAAATAATCTATTTGCAGGTGTTAGCTCGCTTCGTTTGGCAGTGCGATGTGTTACTGATGAAACTGCGTGCGAAGATGGGCTTTTATATTCTATCACTAAACCCATTTAATATTCTTTTAATTCTAAATGAATAGTACTTTTTTCACCTCGAAAATTTACCGGTCTACGATCTTGGTCGAGTACTTCCACTGTGATATTAGTTATTTCTCTTATACTACTTACAGGTAAAAAAATAGGTGTATTCGGTCTCTCAATGATTGCGTAACCAGGATCAACAGTTATCGGGAACTCGAGGATAGTGTGAGCAGGATTATTTCCAAAGAAAGCTCCTCTAGTAATGTTACAATCAAAGTGTAAGCTTGTTACTTTTATAATATTTACGGGAAGATCGGAAAAATGTATCTTATTAGGATCAAGTAGTTTCTTAGAAAATCCCAATATATTACCAATGTTATTATCCTTTTCAAAATTAATTGTATGATTTCGACTATAAATTTCACACTTGAGAGTATTGTTGTTAGGTTTTAAAGTGAAATCTGTATCGTCGGTGCTATTAAGCTGTTTCTTTATGTATATTTCAATATCCGATAGTTCATAACATCCGGTAGGAAAAGTAATTTCTCTCAAAATACTCGTATTATTTTTTTCGTAGTAATAAAACTTTTCTCCTACGACGTTTGGAATTGAATTATAGGAATGAAAGCCTAATACAGCTAAAAAATAATTTTTTTCCGGATTTAATACAATTGGAGTTGTAGGAGTGAAGCAGAATTCATTAGTCTCACTTGAAAGGGTTAAAAGCTGCGACATGACTGATATATTTTTGAAGGTGTAAGGTCTTAAATAAAACAAAATTATCAATTTTAACATATTTATTAAAAACATTAATTATACAAAAATTTTAAACACAGATGTCCACAGTTTATTTGATTATAATTTTGATATTGATCATTGTTATAATATATTTTAAATTTATTCATATATTTTACTAATTCTTTCGGTGGTTTTAGATTACCAAATGAATCGAAATATTCAACATTATTATTCATTTTTCTATACGCTACCCAATGTGTACCTTTATTTTTAGATGTATCTAGATTCATGATTGCGGATTCGTGCTGATGAGGACCCGTCTTTGGTAAATTATCTCGCATAAAAACACCTCTGAAATGAGGTATTTTTAAGCGTTTAGCGTACGTTATTAACTCCCTATCATATAAAGGTCTATTGGGTAGCTTTAATGGAAATTTTTTTGTTTTTTTAAATATAAACCGAATCCACCTTTGGAAAATTTCTTCAGATACAACCCTTTACCTATTGATTCCATTGCTTTGTTGTGACGATAATCTTCCTGTAATTTCTTTTGAGCATTATTTGCACCTATTACAGTCCTAGCAATAGCGCTGGCGCCTCCTACGAGACTCCCCAGGGCTCCTAGGGCTCCTAGGATTGGTAAAAGGGGTAAAAAACCACCTGATTTTGCTTCAAATGGAATTATTCGAGGAATCTTAACATGCTTTTTGCCACCTATTTTTTTAATTGCAAGTCTCGCAGCTTTCAATGCATGTGTTGCGGATTTTTTTAAATCTGATGATGGATTTTTTTTTAACGATTTTGCAACGTTTTTGATAATATCCCGTTTAAAGGAACAACCCATACCAAGCTTTCTTTTCACCTTCATACCGTTTGTGACAATTAAAGCTGCTGACTTTTCACCAAATTTTGCGTCTTTTGATTTATAGCGTGTCCACGCAATGTCCTCTAATACTCTATCTGCTTTATGACGCTCCTCTAAGGATTTATACTGATCATACGCAATATCGTGTTCTTTGCATGCGGAGTCTAATGGATTAATACCAGAATCTCCGCGTGCAATACGCTTTTGTAGTTTTGTACCTGGCCCACAAAATTCGTAACCAGGTAGATGTAATTCAAAAGGTAGTTTGTTTATGAGAGTATTTAAAACTCCTTCTCCCTGAAATATCAACATCACAATGATAGTTTATCATATAGCTAATTTTATTTATAATGATCATCATTTTAAAAAAAGTATTACAAGATGAATGTTGTCCAACAAGAACAGACATTACCAATCGATAACTTTGATTTTGAACCCGCAAAAAACGTTCATGGAAAACATGGGAAACTCCTACCGGATTCCTTTCGTGCTATTATATGTGGTCCTAGCGGATGTGGTAAGACTAATGTAATGCTAGCACTTCTCTTCGACTTAAATGGCGCTAAGTTTAAAAATGTTTATGTATATTCAAAATCTCTCTATCAACCTAAATATCAGTTACTTCAAGAGGTTTTAAGTAACGTAAAAGGAGTTGGATATTTTCCATATAAAGATAATGATGATATTATTAGTCCTCATGAAGCCAAAACTAATTCAATTTTTATATTTGATGATGTCGCATGCGACAAACAAAATAAAATTAAGGAATATTATTCTATGGGTAGACATAAAAATATTGATGTGATTTACCTATGTCAGACATACTCAAGAACTCCGAAACAATTAGTCCGAGACAACTGCAATATAATTATGCTATTTAAAATGGATGAAATCAATTTAAAACATGTATTTGATGAACATGTATCGCCAGATATGAGTTTTGATGATTTCAAAAAGATTTGTTCGCAGTGTTGGACTGACAGGTACGGTACTTTTGTGATTGTAAAAGATTTTGCACTGAATTGTGGCAGATATCGCAAAGGATTCGATAAGTATATAAAAATGTAGAAACATTATATTTAATATCATTTTTAATCAAGATGTCCGATAATCAAGTTGCAGCACGTAAAAGAAAAATTGCTGAATTGTCTCGAACGATTAGAAAGAAATACTTAGCTTTAAAACTAGGTAGATCTGAGTTGGATGAAACTTTAAATACATTATTCAAACCTATATCTGAACCACTTCAGCATATTGCAAAGTCATCAAAATCATTATCTCAACATGATAATGTTGAAAAAATTATTAATAAAGATGAACCAGTTGAAATTAAAAAAGAATCATTAGACAATTATAATGATAATTATAATGATAACTATAATGATAATTATAATGATAATAATTATAATGATAATAATTATAATGATTATCAAGGTATTACTGAAGAATCAGGAAATGTGTACGTAGATCAATATCCTGCAATATCTATTCCATTCATAAACGAATACATGAATAAAAGTGGTAAAATAGACAAAAAATATGGACCCACTTATAATGAGACGTTATCAAAGTGGTTGCTTGGTGGTAAAATAATAAACTTTGATAAAAGAACCGGTCTTATTGAAACAGAGGGAAAACAGATTATTGGTACACCGGGACTATTTCAATTAATATTTTACAATAAACCCAAAGGTTACAATAATGATGATTTAAAAAATTATAAATCTGTTTTAGAAACAACTAATGTTCACAGAGATACTCGAGGACGATTGGCATATAGCTCAAAATATAAATATACCAAGATTATAAAACCAATGTTCTCACGTCAACGTAATGTTGCAGGTACCGGTATGTCTATGAAATATAATAATTATCCTGTGGAGTATGTTTATTGGGACTCACCCAATGAACTTGTAGATCGTTTAAAACTTTTGGTAGCCTCTCAATCTGCCGGAAATAATTCCCATGACAATGAAATAGTTGCTATAATAAATGAACTCAGGGAAGCTAATATAATATATTAGGGTAACACAAGATTTTTTTATCATTTGCAGTATGAGTCTCAATAAATTCGGTGGTAGGTCAATAGGTGCGCGTAGGTCGTTAATTCCTCAATTTGAAGTTACATCGGATGGTAACATAAGCGTTGAAAATATTAAAATTTGTAATTTAAAAGAACCTACCGACGCTACTGACGCTTCTAATAAATTATATGTTGATAAGCAAGTACAAATAATAAAAGAAAAAATTGATAGTTTTCAAAAGGAACTCGGTGATTATCTTTTAGAACAGTTTACTCTTTTACACGATAAAACTCAAAAAGTTACTTACGCTTTAGAATATTTAAATGATAAATTAGTTGATTTAGAAAAAGCAATACATAATAAAATAATATAATATTTATTATCATTTACATGATGAGCTTAAATAAATTCGGTCATAGATCAGGGATATATAATCCTACAGTTCCTAAGCTCACATATGAATTTGTTCACACTACTGACGGTAACATAAATATTGAAAATGTAAAAATATGTAACCTAAAAGAGCCTACTATTGATACAGATGCTTCGAACAAAGGTTATGTTGATATGCAAGATCAAAAATTAAGTAAACACATATCAACATTGACTACTAGAATAGAAGATCTAAGAGATGTAATTCAAAATTTACAACAAGTGAATATTTTGAATGATACAAAAATAAATAGGTTCCTCCAAAATCAAGAAGATCGTTTAAAATTACAGGATATAAGAATAGGTGATTTATCTAAGGAATTATTTAAAGTGAAAAGTAGTATTAATTCTAATATTTAAGTTAGAATATTCTTTAGAAACTGTTAGTTGATTATGAGCTAATAAAGCAGCAAGATCATGAACTTAATATTTACTTTGTTATTATTTGTTAGTAGTTCAATATCCCAAAATATTATATATAATGAATCTGAAACGGTAAATTATTTAAAAAAGTATGGATATATCAAAGATTCATTTAATGCTTTAACTGACTTAAAATCTGCTTTAGTATCTTTTCAAGAACGATACAATTTAATTGTGGATGGTACTGTAAATAATGAAACCCTTCAGTTATTTAAAAAACCACGATGTCAGCATCCTGAAAACGAATTTAGAATCCACGGTAAATGGAAAGAAAGTAATCTAAAATGGTATTTTCCTAATACTATAAATGACAATGATAAATATAATGTATACTTATCAATA